GATTTGTGGCTAAAAATATAGGCAGATAAATCTATCAATGGAGTGACTCCCATTTCCGAGTTATCTCCAGTTAAATTAATAAAGATCGCAAATGTTCGTCGGACAAAGCTTTGGGAACACTAGATTAACTTTTTGGAGAAGAGTTCAAGTAGAATTACAAAAGTTGAGGGCGCTAAAATAATCAAGAATTAAAATAACCAACTTACTTTGGGGTATTCTACGATTCGGGGATTAGCAGGATCCCACTATATGGGTCCCACACGAAAGAATTCACACCAAATATAATTGGATTATAGGAAAAAAGCTGTTCGCAAGTTAGTGCATGAATTTTATTTTCTGGAGTTGGGGAAATCGCACTTTATTATCACCCAAATCATCCACCAATTAGGATATTAAATGAATATGAGAATTCTCGACCATAGTATGACAAGGATCCATTGCACAAAAGATTTCAATCACTTAAAAAAGCTCATGTATGTTGAATTATGTGAATTAGTGAATAGATTGTGAGCAATTGGATGCAAATAAAGAGCATACATAACGCAAAAAGGATATCAAAATCAAGCCAGAGCAAAATAAATGGCGAGTGATTGTATTTCAAAAAATATTATATTACAACGTATCAATACACACGCAATGGGTAGAGTATAAAGAATAGGCTCACTGAGAAGATGAACATAACAACCGGGATAGGTGGTTTCGGCTATACTCTTTCCTTCCATGGCTTGGTCTCTGCTGTCAAACTCAATGATTGCACACATTTCTACGCCAAGCATCGGATGGAAATATTGGGTGCGTTTAAGATCAGCTGGGATTCTGCGCTGAGGAGACAAAACTCTAACAAGCCTAGGCGGGAGGTCACATATCTGTAATGAATAAAAATTAAAAAATAAAGCTGAGACAAAAATCAATCGAAACTTAAGAAATCAAACTACCGTAAAGAGATCTGTGATAGAATCTACGGTCACAGTAACACAGGGAAATTTCGATATAATGATACTCCTATTGTAAACTGAAGGGTCCCAATCGGGCAGAGGTTCGATGCGTCTGATCATGAGGCCTGTGAAAATTAAAATTATGAGCAAATACCATTCTCGGATATTTCTAAAAGTTTCGACTGTCTTAGAGCGTATAAAAATGTAAGGTGATCAGAAGAAATCTGCCGCATCCTTGAGAAACGTTCAATTATCGAAAGTTCTATCCAACCCTCTTTGTCACTCTTCGCTTTTTTCAGCAGAAAGGGATCTTTCAATATATTTGCGTTGCTAAAATAAAACTCACACTGCCGTATGATTTTTTCGACGACGCCAGGTGTGGGTGCGATGAATTCAACGCTAGCATCCGGTTCAAGTTCATCATCTGGCGAGACTGCTTCACGAGCAAGTTCATCGGAATAAGGCTCGGATTCTACAAGTTCACTAGCCTGAGGTGGCGATACTTCTGGGACGGCCGACTGGCTTTCGCATTTATTAATGGCTAATTGCCCTGAGGCAGGGAAAGAAAGGAGCCTGGTCATGCCGGGATAGCAGAAAAATGTCGCTTCCTTTAGGCGCCCACTTATCCAGTCCGGGAAAACTTCTTCCTGTCAAAAATATATTTAATCGACTAATAGCTGGCTTTGAAGATAGTTCATTGTTCTAAACTAATTGCAATAATACAAATAATTATTCAATTTGGCTTAGACAAGAAGAGGCCTGAAATTGGCCCACATACATATATAATCAACAGTGAGGAGTAAGCATATATGCAAACCAAAAAAAAAAATAGAAAAAGATAGGAAGAAATTAACAAGCAAATAATTAGTTTCATTTACTTATTATGACTTTCTTTCAGGTCAGGTTAACGTATAATCTATCAATTATTGTATAAGTCATAAGAATGTAAAGTCTAAGTATACTCTATAAAATTAGATGAGTCAAAATGATTGAACAGCCCATGGCTAATTATTTGCATAGAATAAGGGATACAAATTATAGTCAAAAATAAATTCATTGAAATTCTATATTGAAGACAAGCTGAGAGGGAGGACCTATTCAGCAATAATCCACTAATAATACTAGGAACTATTGGTAGGAAGACTTAGTGGATCGCAACTAGTCCGCAGTCCATTGTAT